TTTTTAGGAGGTATACTTTGAGGGTAGATTTCACTCCCTAAAAGTGTTTTTGGCAGATAAAAAACACAGACTAACTGGAGTAGCTGGTGTGAAATTCACCCAGGGAGTGAGTGAGGGTTATACCCTTTCTTAAAAGGTCGAAGTCGCCTCTTACTTATACCACGGTTATTGATTGGTACATGGCTTGAGACAGCTTTTTCTCTACTTACGGCTGGGATTTTTATGCTGTGTCAGGCTTCCTATTATTATTCTGAATTGCAATTTGAATAAAATGGTATGTTAAACGAGTTACTGCCTTTCCTTATTTATACCCGTTTTCCCTTAAATTCAGCCAAACTTAGACTCACATTTTACTGTTCTATTTTTTTATATTTCCCAATATTTACATTTGGATAATTATAAATATTAAACAACATTATTAGTATTACTGATAATTTCAAAAAAATACCCCCTGACATTCTTGAATCGATTTATTAACGGTACATTTCCAGTTTTGTAGAACACTATTCATATTAATTAATTATAAATTGACTTTACTGTTGAAATTACTTCTAATTATTATATAGTATAACTATTTCAAATTATAGGAAATTTCAAACTTTCACGCTCTTTTGTCGCATGATTCAATGAAAACCCTGGATGTTTACAACGGTTCTCTATTTCAAGATAGAAATTTCATATATATAATGAAAAATTTCAATAAAAATTGCAGATTTTATTATTAATAGCATTTACGAGTGAATTAAATCTGTGATTTGTAATTGTGTATAGTGCTGTTTTCAATAAAAAATTATAATATAATCAAAAATATAGCACATAAAAAATTAACAGACAATCGAAGAAAAGTATCTTTTATTATAAATTATAATCAGATGAGGAAATTTGGAAAGGCCAAGAAGAGAAAGTTTTTTAAGGAAGTTTACCTACAAAAGATCCATTAGTCAAGAATACAAATACTTCATTAAGAAATATTAAAAATAATAAAACTTCAAAATAAACATAATAGAGATACAATTATTAATAATAATACGATTTATGGCAAGATAAAGTTGTCAAAAACCAGATTTTAAAGGCTTAGTTTCAAACTTTTAATTAAGTGTACTTCATGTGAAAAAGTAAGATCTCATCGAGTCAAACTAAAAGGTTAGAGTAATGAAAAATGGAATAAAAATGAACAGAAGATAGCGATTTATTATGCAAATACTTCGCTGGCTCTAAAACTTTCTGTTGTAATGTGAACTTATTGAAAGCTATGGTTCATTCCACATGTGATTTCCTTTACATGGTTATTACGAGTATGTGAAATAGTGGCTAAAAACTCCATAGACGATGCTATCAAAAAAGAAACTGATGCCTTACCTGAAGAAAAAAATGTGACTCAGTATTTCTGATGATAGTACTTGGAAGAAGAGAGAATTTTCTTCAATTCAAAGAATGATTAGTTTGATTGAAACTAAAACTGGTAATCTAATAAATGCCTACATGATAAACAGTTTTTACAGATTATACCACCAGTGGGAAAGTAAAAAGAAACTCTGGAGTATTGGCACAAAGAACATTGTGTTCCACGGGTACCAACGGAGTGTTGGAGATCCTCGACGAAGACGGCGATTCGGCGGAGGAGAGTTCACGAGCGCCTGAAGTGCCTCGAGTGGCGCCTCAGAGGCACGTGCATGAACCTTTGCCGTGGAAGCCTCTTCGGCTCCAGAGGCTCGATCCCGACTATCAGTTCGTAAGGACTGGTGGACCGGGGGGTTACGCGCCGGCTGGCTACTCGGCGGATGAGCGAAGGCGAGAACATGAAGAACGCGTTAACGCAGAACGGAGGCGACAACCTGTCTTCCTGCAACACAGAGTCGCAGTTGCACTCTGAGGACCCGGAGTCGCCGCTATCGGTTCGTGTGGTTGCGGACGCTGCATCGGTGGAAGCCGACCAACATCCCATGGTCACTACGGATTGGGCGGCGAGTCAATCATTGACTCGAGGGCCTGGGCCCCGGGAGCGCGTCGACGGACCTATGGAGGTGGAAGAGCCGCTGCTTCGTCCGTCGTCTCCTCTGGCCTCGTTGCCCGTTCTCCCCGTGCCGACAGCTGGGCATGTCTCGAAGCAAACCCGGTTTGTAAGGCGCGGGTGAAAGGCCATCGGTTGGGTCGGCCACGGCGAGTGTGCCAGTTAGGGCTGGCGCTTCAAGTGCAGGGTTCGGGCTCATGAGGGGGGCTTTTCTCCGGGCATTGGCGTCTGTGCCGTGGGATGATCAGCTAGACCTCCCATCGTTCAGGTGCTTCAATTGCCGGACGGGCTCCCACCGTAGAGTCGACTGCACGGAGCCGCTGCTCAGACGTGACTACTGCCGCAATTGCGGACGGTTGGACACAACCGTCAGCGATTGCCCGCGGTGTCGCCTGGCATACTCGCTGGAACAAACGAGGGTTAGTTCTAACCGAGATGCCCCAGCTCCGGTCTTGAGTGAGCCGCTGCCCAGCGTGCCGTCTGTCTCACAAGACAGACCGGCGCCACAGCAGGCTCCTCAAAGTCAGGGACCTGTGGCAATGGGGTAGACGGTTCCCCTGGTCACCACTCCGGAGATTACCCGAAATCCGCGCTATCGATCGGGTAAGGCTTATCGAAAGAGGCTGGCACGCAAAAGCGCTCGTCAGCAGACGAACGGCGCGGAGTAGCGGTCGCGACACGAATCCAGTTCGCTCTCGACGGGGGTCGCCCCGATGGATACGTTGGAGGTGCCCCCGGCGTTAGTGACTGCTGCGGGTGGTCATGGGCTCAATGGTGCTGGCACCCTTACACCGCTAGCCGAGGAGCTTAGGGTCCTCAGGCTCAAGTACCTGGAGGGTAACCGTTAGTCGTCGAACCTTAAGGTATGGTATTCTCATTAGTAACCTAGCTGACTTTAAAGGTTAATACGCGCGCAGGGCGTCTTGACGCGTCGTCGACCCGATGGTTGAGTTTATTTTCTTTTACGGTACATGGACCACGCGTTTGCCCTTGTAATTAACCCTTGTAAAATGTAGTCGTCGTTATTAAGCTAAAGCTTCAGTTTTGTTCTTATATTAGCTTAAAATTAAGTTAATCATAAGCTTATTAAGTTATTGAATAAGTTATTTATTAATGCGTCAGGCCAAGTCGTGAGTCTTTGCCGAAAGGGTGAGAGAGACTTGAGGTTGGAGTAAGGCCTTATTGTCCTGGAGAGAACTTCGGCCTTCGGAGAAGCTGTAACGGTGTAGGCTGGTCATGGCCTACACCGTGCGTCCCTTCTTTCTCTCCGACATTGGCAAGGGCTCATGACAAGCATCTGGTGCACGTATGTTTTTCGTGCTTGATGCCAGCCTTTTGTTTTAGCATCGGTTTCTTTCTTCCACAAGAAAAAAAGAGAGAGCAGCAGCAGTACTAGTGGGCAGGAGCGCGCGACAACTTGCGCTCTCGTCAGTCACCGAAAGAGCTAGAGCGAGAGAAAGAGAGAGAGAGAGAGCGAGAGAAAGAGAGAGAGAAAGAGAGAGAGAAAGAGAGAGAGAGAGAGGGAGAGTGCAGCTAAAGTGCGGTCAGGCGCGCGACACTGGCCACGCTTAGCGGTGCCGCGTGCCGCCGATTAGACAAGTGAGTGGGGAAGGCGTGAGAAGCAATCTCTCACGCATTATTGCATCTCACGAGCATTAAGGAAGTGACCTCGGGAGTGAGAGTATACCAGCCTAGTGCACCGGCACAGTATTTTCCGAGGTAGCGGCCTTTGTCCACCAGTCACGCCATATCTCAGGAAGTCACCAGCCGGCAGAAAAGAAGGTCAACGTGCCAGCCCAGCGGACTTCGCCAATGATACAAGTCATCCTCTCTCCTCTCGTTTCTCTTTCTTAATCGGTTTAACCCTTTTTGGCTATTCGCGACTTGTGCGTCGTGCCAGGCTTTCGCAGGCCGGCACGGCTGAGTTAGCGGTTAAATTTTTCTTTTATTATCGTGTATAAAATCGGTAACGAGATGGTAAGGCGCTCACGAGCCGGCTATCTTATTTAGTTGATAAGTAGTTATTGTGTATTAGGCTAAGGTTCGATAAAGTGTTTTAGTCGTCATCGCTCAGGGTAGCGATTTTATAATAAATATGTTTCGTTGGTAAAAGGCTAGAGTATTTGTTACGATCGCCTTTCCTTTTTTGCTTTGCTGGGAGCGACATACCGCCCCCCTTACCTCCTTCTTAAATAATTAAGTGTTAGCGGGAAAGGATTACCGGCCAAAGACGGCCGACGCTATTACAGATAGTTCATTAACTTCAAACTTAATTTTTTCTGCTTTTGATTTTTCACAAAGTAAATGCCTTTACCGATCTTGAGATCTTGAACTGAGTTTGCAATGAACTGAGCTGAAATTTGAGCCAGATGCTTACAGCATATTTAAGTTTACTGGAGTCGACCAGAATTTTAATATTGTAAATAAAAGTTGATATCAAACATTATTTATATAAAACATAATCAAATTATTGAAAAAATTTACAACAAATAAATTTTCTATAATGTATGACGTTACAATTAAAAAATAGTTACATTTACACAGACATAGTTACACAGACTTTCTAGGGTTGGTCCAGTTATCCGTGAAGGAATTTAGCATGTATGTATAATTAAAAAGATTATATGTAAAACTTACTATCATACTTACTTTAATATCATGACTCTTTTTCTTCATCATTCATTTAAGATTTGTTAATTTCCAAGTTTAACATAAGCTGGTTAGCTAAATAAACAATATTTTTCATCCCAAGCAATAAATTCATTAAGCAGGTGAGGCTATGGTCGATTTGTTTGTAGAATATAATTTTTTTTTAATATTTTTAAGACACATATCGTACAAAGCATCACAAGGTCTCTTAATATTCTTTATAATGAAATATAAAAATTATTTAATAAATTAGATGTTATTAGATTAAAACCTATTTATTAGATAGTAAAAGAACACGTGTGTTATACATTTTAAATTATAAAACTATTAAACTTTTTATTCAACTTAATGTATATCGAACGTATGGGACTTCAACATCATTGCCATCTACATCATTACAACACAATTCAAATACCAGTGCCCGAACATGAGATTCTAGCTTCTTTTTCGAAACTTTTTTAACAACTTCAGACATTGGTAAATTCATCCGTTCTTGGCATTTTTGTTTAGCCATGAAAAATGAATAAAGCATGCACACGCCTTGAGACAACATCGTCACTTCTAAATTATGTTTTTGTTTGAAATAATCTAAAAATTCTTTGAGAGTCATTTCACCTTGAACTTCAAATCTATCCCATAGTGTCCATTCTGTATTGTAATATTTCAATTTTGGAGCTGCAATAGGTTCGGAAAATCCAAAAAATGGTAAAGCAAGATTTACAAATCCATTTTTGTATAAATATAGATCTTTGAAACCATGAGCTAATTTTATTAATTCCAAACATACGAGACCAGCTACAACACTTGTAGTAGTTGCTATAGCAGGAATAATTTTGCCAGCAATCAATTTACTCTTATGTCGATCTGCTGCTTGTATTCTATAATTTGCAGCTCTTAGGTTTGAAGCGGCTACTATAAAATCAATGTGAAAATTACTGTCGTCGTCTTTTTCAAATTCTTGAGGATGAATAGATAAACCTATAAATAAACAATAATTTTAATATTATATTTCAAGTTATATTTTAATATTATACTTGATATGAAATTAATAAAGATATAAATGGTATAGCATAGATAATTTTATAATAGAATTTTGTTTAGGTATCATTAAGTTATCAGCTTAGGTATTCATTATCAAGTTCAAGTATCATTAAGGTTTCTTAATTAAAATTTTTTAACGATCGATTTGGAGCTCAAAATTTCATAAAAAACCATGTAAAAATAATTAAAATCAGTGCACCTCATTGGTTTTAGAAAATAGTCTTTCGATTTGCGGAATTCAAATTCTATTTTAACTCTTCTAAAAATTATGGCATATATAAATAAAATAATGATAGAGAATGACAATAACTTTTGTTTCAATAACTTTAGTCGTACCAATGTTAAGATTGACTTCTAACCATGTTCAATTATGATCATGACAGTAACAATTGAAAAAAACATTTGTAATATATTATCTGAAATCACTACAACCTTTTAACTCTCCCAATACTGCAGTTAGTGTATGTGTGTTGTTCACACTTTTCCGCTTTGAGGGTGGCGCAGCGTAATCAAACATTACCACCCCTCTCTCTGGGCGCCAATAGGTTGGCATAGCCCACTGTCTTTCACTCCTTTGCTTTCAAACACATTGGAGATCCGGAAGTCAAGTTTGCTACGATATCCCTGACGCATACAGCGAGTCGGAACCTTTTTGATCTAAGGCGGCGACCTCCTCGAAAGGAGTACCGATCTTTTCACGGTTCGACGCTCAAGGAGAGCGGAACTAAAAGCTTGACCCTCGGTTTGGGCGGGACGGGAATCTAGTTGCCCCAACGTCTACCGCATCGGAAGCACGCGGCATACAAATCTTACGAGATTTGCTTGACCTGGTACCACTACCCCGCAGAGGCCAACCCAAATTGGGATGTCAGAAGAGAAATTCAGCTAGGACAGCCAGAAGAGATTCCTAAGACGATCAACCAGTTAAGCCTCCCCTCCTGGGCTCGCGTTCGAAAACATCCCACCCTGCGTACCTGTATTAAGGGATTTCTCCCACGACTCACAGGTCCATCGCTTCGACGTACCGAGGCACGTCTTCCAATTGCGTTTCGGTCATCCCCGCTCACGCTGGTGGGTGTCCGTTATTCAAAAAGGTTGTGTCCTGATTTTTGCCCGAGTCTCGGATTTCGCTTTCTATGGAAGGCTTTTATGAGTCGCTGATATTGATCTCTGCTCTTTCAATTAATATTAATATTTTCTGACTTGGGTCAGGGGCGGGGTCTCGCCTAGCCGACAAGGCGACTCCCCAGGCAGTTTTCAATATTCGTGCCAGTCATGCCACTTATTCGAATCAATTTCCGAGATCCAGGCTCAAATCAGGTGTTTTAACGTTCGAAATTAGCGTTCAGATTGTGTGTTCTCACACAAAAGTGTCGGGCCTTACTCCCGGAGCTCGAGGCAAAGAACTTTGGGTGGCTGTTATGACCACGGCCGCGACTCTTTACCCACAATAGTGGCACTTACCGATTGCCAGTCGATAGGGAGTAATTTATTATCTATCCGAATTAAATTCGGATTGCCGGGACCATTGGTCCTCTGCAACTAGCTCCCGGAGCGGTCTCCCGTCCTCTAAGAGGGCGCGCGGTACCGCAATCCCGAGAGATTTCCCATCAAGTAAATCCCGGATTTTGGCTTTTCTGGGCTCGAGTTGAGCTCTTGGGGTGTGGTAGACTCCGCGATGAATGTGTGGACGTTTACAGCCCGCACCTCACCACGTGTTGTCATGGACCGTGTTATTTCTTTTGTTTGGCCGATTGGCCTTTTGCCCTAGGGGCAAGCGTTGTGTGTTTTGCCTACTGTTTCTTTACTGAAACAGCGTTTTCAGCCCCACCACGTGAAGGTACACACATCCGCACTTGTGATTGCAAGTCTCCGTTCAAATACACATTGCATTCACTTTGGGTCGACTAGCATTAGTTGCTTGTCGAGGGCAATCGGTGACGTATTTTGTACTTCAGCATTTGCATTTGCATATGCCCGTACAGGTAAGAGAAGTTTACGACATCCTCTCCCAAAACAACAAGTTATTTGCTTGAGAAGTCTCCACTCTCTGTTGAGGAAGACAATTACTGTCCACCGCTTTAACAAAAGATTTTTACACAAAGTGACCTGGCCAGCCTCGCGGCTGGCCATATGATGCACTATGTGCATCATCTATGTTTTTGCTAAGCGGATCATAATCGAGCTTTCTGAGAGCATCGTGATTGAAACCGCCTCCCAAACTGCAATAAAATTTTTTTCAAATTGTGTGTTTCTTAGTTATGACAAATTAGATAATCCTACTTATGAAATGAGATGGCTTGTTGAGTCAAGCCAGATTATTCGTGATTTGGTTGGCTGAGAGAAAGATGCGTGTGTGATTGCATTGTGTGAACGTGTTAATTAAGTATAGTTTTGATTGATAGATATCTCTGATGTGGTCAAAGATCAGGCATTGACTTAGCCAACAGATATAGATACGCGTTATTGTCTTAACATATACGTATGCACGGTCCGCAATGTTCTTATATCCGTTATTATCAACTAATTATTAAGAGGGTATTACCGGTTATAACAACGAAAAAAAATAGGCTAATTTTCAATATTTTTTTTTTTTCTCAGTTCCTTTATTCTATGTCAATTTGCAAATTTCCACGGATGAAATATATGATTTGAAGATTTAAAAAAAAAATATTTTTTTTTTAAATTTTTTTCGTCTCTTTTTCTAATTTATAGTGTGCGTCGAAGTCAGTAGGTTAAAAAAAAATGCCGTGTCCCATGGCGGACAGATAAGCTCGGGAACAAAGAATCTGAAAAAAAAAAAAAAAACCAAACTGCATTTTAAAAAGGAAGGTGTCTTACGTGATAATTTACCACAATATTTAAAAAATTACAAGAAAAAAAAAAAAAATTTTTTGTTAAAATCGCGTTTTGTCACTTATTTTCACTTGCTCATTTTTTTCAGGTTCACTTTTTGATTATATTGTGATAAATTACCACACAGAATACTTGAATAAAGAGGCACACCAAATTTGGCTTAAATCGGTCGAGCCAATCCGGAGATTAAGTTTGAAAAAACGTCATTTTGAGAAAAACGCGTTTCAAGTATTTTATTATGAATTTATTTAATATTTTTATAAAAAAAAAAAAAAATATTTATTACTTACAATTGCTCAGTCTGCTATCCCTGGACCATACCAAAAATTTAGGACGTGCTTTCTGAAGGCATTGTAAGTTGAAAAAAAAAAAACTGTTTTTTTCAAAATTATAACCGGTAATACCCCCTTAATCAATAGCAAGTAAATAAGTGAGTGCAAGGTAAGTCCTACTGATAGATTTATATGTACATTGTAACAGGCTGCCGTTTAACCTATAATATCCCTTGAACGTACCTATATGATGGCCAAACGACACCTAGTTATCTATGTGCTCGAAGCACATCAACCTACCTTGCCCGGGAGTGCGCCTGCGCAGCGTCTCCTCGCCAATCCGAGTTGGGTTCCCCAACTCGCCACTTGGCGGCGCTGTCGCCCCTGCTTAGCAGCGCTCCTACGGCTGCTGCTTGAAACTAGGTTGACGATTCGCCTCTACCGATCTCTGCGTGATCCTTGCTACGCTACCGGCTTATTCGAATCGAAAGTAAATAGACGCGACCTCCGGACAAAGAAAAGACAAAATAACGATGACTTGATTTAGTAATAACGATTGATCGCTTTATTCAATCAAATCAAATACACGGGGGATTTGCCGAGAGTCTTGCGCACGCACACGCAGTTGACAATACGCTAGATGGGAGAGAGAGAGAAAACCGCGATCGCCGCGAACTAACCGCTCGCGCGCAACAAACAATTCCTTCGCGCACGCTGCGCGGGATCGCACGCTGACAACAATAAAAAGGGAAGGTGCACCTACCGCGAGAACGATGAGGATATGGTGGCCAACCGTATCCGATGCACGCGTCGCTAATTTGCTGCTCCGCCACTCGCTGCACTCCGCTGTTATTGCTGTTGTTGTTGCTGCTACGGTTGTTGCTGTTGCTGCTGCTGCTGTTACTGCTGTTGCTGCTGTTGCTGCTGCTCTCGCCGCACTCAGCACACCGCACTCAAGTTCTCGACGCTTAATCTCGCACCACCAAAAGAAACGCGATGACGGCACGAGAGAACAGGTTAGCTCGATGCAGACGGACTGAGTGACACAGTCATACTGCCTGTTGAACCCCCCCCCCCACCCGGTCATTGCCTTTACGCGCCCTCTCTCTCTCGCGAACCGATCGCGGCTTTTCTCGTTCAGCCGCTTATTAACCTCGCGCGAGTCGAACGATTTTCGGTAATCGTTGCAACATACATTACTTTACTTAGGTTCGCAATTAAATAAAAGAAATTTATTGAAAACATGTGTGGAGTTCGTTTAGGTTATGAAATTTGAAAATCATATTTTGAATTTTCGTATACACTCCCGCCCAATAATCTTTGCCCACCTAAGAACAAAACGACTATAACTTTGAAACTCCATATCTCGGCTGGAAATACACCTACAGAGCTCTGCGGGGGCTCATTTGAAAGGGTTTTTCGAGCACTTTTCAATGGTGTATATTAAAATCATGCTTAGATATTTCCCTTGCAGATAGGGTGGCGAATATCAAAACAAAAATTACGAAATTTTTGCTTTTTCTTTAACCGCTTGCTATTTCGAGAAAAAAAATCGTAGAAAAATTCTAAACATAGCAATTTTTAGCTCTTTTTCTGCACTATCCAAAACACTCATTCAAAAATAATTTTCGTCTAAATACAGCGATTATATGAGCATTTCATTCAAAAACAGCATCTATATTCATTGCTCTGTATCTCGGAAAATTCGAATTGTAGAAAAAAATTTTCTTGGAAGAAAATGCTCTATTTTGTAAGTAGAATACGTGAACGAAATTTCATATGAAAACATTTTTTTTTCAGTCGTAATATCAAGTAGTCTAATTTTTTCAATATTTCACTTTGGAATAATAAAACAGATCATTTATACTCGAAGCTATTCTATTAATTGTAGACAAATTTTAATTGTATGCAAATCTCGATCAACGAATAATCTAAGTAGAAAAATTAATCTAATCTACCAAAACTGACATAACTAATGATTAGTGAAAAAAATTTTTTTTTAATGTTGTTCTAATCTTCTAAAAAATTGTTTACCATAGTAAAATATTATTGAAGTATTATTAAAGTACGGCATCAAGAAATTAGGGTAAAAATATTAAGTGGGAATAGAATATGCAAATTTTTTTATTGTCAAGAAAATTTAATTATGTACATCAAAACTCCTGAGCCGAAATATTCATAAAAACTAATCGACACTATATTATATGAACAATTTTTCAAATTCAATTTTAATAAACTTGAATTTGAAAT